CACTTAATAACCACTATATTTCACAAGTGTCAGCGAGGAAGCGTTCTCTTGAACAAACATTATGGCTGTCTAATTAGTCTGTTCAATCATTTCAACAGTTTTCTCAGGGATGGCGGGGCTTGTTGGGGAAATTCTGCTGAGGTACGACTCCCGAAATATGCTTAATATGTTCTGCACGTCCCTCGGGGAAACATAAAACTGTGTGTGTTGATGGAGGTCAGATGGAAGCTCGCATGACCTCGTGTCGAACGAGCAGAAGAGTGAAATCCACATGTCCACTCATGCATGATTTATTAAATTAAGCATGCACGGAATATAGCTTCGGATGATCGTTTGCGTCCATTGAAGATGTTTTGAAAGTTTTACGTCTAATATCCAAATAATCCATTGTGTTCATAGTGCTATTTATCAAACATAATGTGTCAATCGAGTTCACAAAATAAAAAAGGGGCAAATAAACCTGAACTCATATTAAATGCAATTTTAAACATCTGTGTTTTGTCTGGCAAAAATTAAGACTTTTTTTTTTTTTTACACAAAATGTTAAAAAATGCTAAATCTGTCAATCGATTTTTTACAAAAATACATACTATGGGGTAAAAAAAAATACTTATAATGTTGCAAATTAACCTGAAATTATTTTAGATGCAATTTTAAACATATCTGTTTTGTTTTGTCAAAAAATAAGACTTTTTTTATTCAAAATTTTGTTAAAAAAAAATTTGTCAGTCGATTTTTTACAAAAATAACATACATATGAGAATTAAAAAAATACTTAAAATATATCAAAATTAACCTGAAATTATTTTAGATGCAATTTGAAAAAAATTTTGACAGACAAAACAGAAATTGCATCTAAAATAATTTCAGGTTAATTTGCAACATTATAAGTATTTTTTTAGCCCATTCTTAGTATGTTTTTTTGTAAAAATCGATTGACAAATCTTTTTTTTAAACAATTTTTTTAACAAAATGTTGTGTAAAAAAAAAAGTCTTATTTTTTGACAGACAAAACAGATTACTTTTTTTACACAAAATTTTGTTAAAAAATTGTTTTAAAAAAATATGTCAATCGATTTTTACAAAAAAAAAAACATACTTAGGAGAATAAAAAAAAATACTTATAATATTGCAAATAAACCTGAAATTATTTTAGATGCAATTTTAAACATATATGTTTTGTTTTGTCAAAAAATAAGACTTTTTTTTACTCAAAATGTTGTTAAAAAAAAAATTTGTCAGTCGATTTTTACAAAAAAACATACATATGAGAATTAAAAAAATACTTATAATATTGCAAATTAACCTGAAATTATTTTAGATGCAATTTTAAACATTTTTTGATATACAAAACAGATGTTTAAAATTAGTAATTTTTTTACCCCATTCTTAGTATGTTTTTTTTGTAAAAATCGATTGACAAATCTTTTTTTTAAACAATTTTTAAACAAAATGTTGTGTAAAAAAACTCTTATTTTTTGACAGACAAAACAGATAAGACTTTTTTTTACACAAAATTTTGTTAAAAAATTGTTTAAAAAAAGATGTCAATCTATTTTTACAAAAAAACATACATAGGAGAATTAAAAAAAGTACTTATAATATTGCAAATAAACCTGAAATTATATTAAGTGCTATTTTAAACATTTCTGTTTTGTCTGTGAAACTTTAACAAAAATAAATAATTAGAAGGTGCAAAAAATTACTTGTGTTGCAAATTAACCAAAAAATTATATTAAATACTATTTTAAACATCTTTGTTTTGTCTGTTAAAATGTAACTTTTTTAAATACAAATTTTCTTTGTCCAAAAAAAAATGTATTACAAAAATAAATACTTAGAAGGTGCAGAAAATTACTTATAATGTTGAAATTATATTAAGTACCATTTTAATTCAAATTTTATTTAAAAATGTACTTTTTTACACAAAAGTTTAGTATAAAGTTAAAAATGTGCTACTGATTGTAAAAAAATAAACACTAAGAAGATGCAAAAAACTATGTATAATGTTGCAAATGAACCTGAAATTATACTTTTTTTTATCATCTCTGTCTGGTCTGTCAAAAATTAAGACTTTTTTACACACAATTTTGTTTAAAAAAAAAGCAAAATAACTGCATTTACTTAAAAAAACACTGCATTCAAGAAAGCACGTAATGCGACAATGGTAGAATACTACATAGTGCATATCATAAAATAGTCCCATTACCCCTATTTATTGTTGTTGTTCACATAGCAATATAGAAATAGAAATAACTAGTCCGTTTCCACACACACACACACACACACACACACACATCTGCACATCCATCAGCATCTCAGGCTCTCTTAAAGACTGCAGTATAAGTGACGGTGAGGATGAGAGACTCACGAGCCACTGAGAAGTTGTTCAACGGCGTCTCCAGCTGATCGGCGTCCTGCGGTCGCTCCTTATAACCCGTAAACGTACCGTCATTCTTCAGCAAGAAATACCGCGGCCTCCACGTCTTTATATACTCTCCTGAAGACACAGAAGACAACAGAAAGCATAATAATAAATACTCAGCAATGCATAATATACGGCCAATGCCTAAACAACTGAGGTCATATTAACCCCATATATTGTATCAGATTTGACACATGAATTAATAAATGATCAACATGATGTCAAAACTCAATCTCCTCCAGTCCATCTGTCGTCTGGTCGACAGTTTAGACTTTTATAGAAAGTAAAAGTCTTTTAGAGTAATTGTACAAACGTCCTTCAGCTCGTGCTTCGGTGTCTTTCTGCTGTCAAATGAGATTTTTATCAAGTAAAAGTAAGAGAATAACTTTGATATTGTTAGTAATATTTCAACTGGACTGAAGCAGGTTACATAAATATCCAGACATCATTAATGAGTGTCAAATATGATCATCTCTCAATCATCATTGCATTGCATTATATGTTTTAAGAGCGTGCCATTGATCATAAAACTAAGCTTTTAAAAATCATATTATTTGCAGATATTGCGAGCCGACCATATACAGGTGAAACTCGAAAAATATCGTGCAAAAGTTCAGTAATTCAACTTAAAAGGTGAAACTAATATATTATATAGACTCATTACATGCAAAGTGAGATATTTCAAGCCTTTATTTGTCATAATTGTGATGATTATGGCTTATGAAAACCCCAAATTCAAAATTAGAATATTGTGAAAGAGTTTTCATATCTGTAAGCATCAAATCATCAAAATTATAACAAATAAAGGCTTGAAATATCTCACTTTGCATGTAATGAGTCTATATAATATATTAGTTTCACCTTTTAAGTTGAATTACTGAAATAAATGAACTTTTGCACCATATTCAAATTTTTCGAGTTATATATATCAGCATCTGCACCAAATAACATTATTGCTCAATTTGAGCCTCAGAATAAAATTGACCTCCATATTCTCACTATAAAGTCAGCCATAAAGCCTGATGTATCAGATATAAAATCAGATAAAAAAACATATAAAATGTTGGGTTAAGATAATTTACTGAACGCAACGCTAAGCCTATTTTAAAGGCATAGTGAAAGCATGCATCTAAATTTAGATTTAAAACCCGGTTTGAACTTAAAACAACAGCGTGACACAAAACACCTCAGTTTCCTAAGAGAACGCGCACACAAAAACTGCTGCCGTTTTCTGCATCCAGAATCAATTTGTGCTGAGGAACGTGCAGAAATCACTGCACCAGATGTTGCGGAATTGGAAATGAAAAAACAAAACCGAGAGACACGCAGCCGTGGAGTCTGTGGCACGTCAAAAACACAGAGACAGTTTGAATAGTTATCCAGGAAAAGTGTAATTTATTTTTAATTACGGGAGTGGAATATTAACCCCATGCAGGGTCTGAGCAAGCTGTCCTTAATTGGCCCATTTCCTCCGTCACTAAAGTGTGGATGTGTCACGGCAAACGTCTGTCTCGCTGATATTCAGACGCTTTCTGGCTCATTTCAACTGTGACAGGCCAGAGGAGCAGCGAAGGGTCCATGCATTCATCATTCAAACTCACAAAACATGAGAACTTCACGGAAACTTCATATCACATCTTTAGTAGAAGAATAAGCATTTTATGATGCTCAAACTATTTCAACTTGTCCCGTTATTGAAATAAATAATTTCAAATAAAAGGAATTCAATTAGACACCTACTAAAAATTACATAAATGTACAATTATAATAAATAAAAATGGAAAAAATCCGACACTGAAAAGTATTAATATAATATAAAACTGAAATAAACAATGTATTTGTTAAATAACAAATTATTTCAATCAAAAAAATGTAATACCAGTCAAAATGCAACACTAATTTTGTACACTCTAAAAAATGCAGGGTTGTTTCAACCCAAATTTGGGTCAAATATGGACAAACCCAAATGTTGGGTTAAAAATTTAATTTTAAATTTTAACCCAACTTTCACTTTCAACTGTAAATTTTTTTATTACATTTTTAACCCAACATTTGGGTTTGTCCATATTTGACCCAAATTTGGGTTGAAACAACCCAGCATTTTTTATAGTGTAATAAATAAATAATTTTCAAATAAAAGCAACACTAAAACGAATAAATCACAAAAATACAAGTTACTAAAATGATTAATATCATAATGTAGCCTTTAAATAAATAAATACCCCCCCCTCCCCCCCCCCCCCCCCCAAAAAAAAGATTGTCATTTAGTAAATATTAATGAAATCATAAACAAAATGATCCAAAAAAAGCAATCAAAATCACTAACTAAAAAGATTAAATATTTGTTTATGTGCATGTCACGTGACCATTAGCCTCCATGAGAGATCCATGAACAAGCGAGTACATATTTTAGGGTTCAGCAGAGAAAAAAGTTTGTGAATCCCTGGTCAAATAAGACACTCTAAAACAGTCTAGCAACAAAAGATAAACTACCAAACCGCATAATGCATCCAGTAGTTGAAACTAGAGCAGCTCCACATCTCTGCGGAGCTTCAGCACTTCAATAAACCTAAAGCATTACAAATGAGTCCACCTGATTCACAACAACTGGGGAGGAGGAAGAGCGAAGCCCAAAGGCGCGGGAACATCTGTCCTTGAGCCCTGTGTACTTAAGACTCTCGTTCACACCAGATGCCCAATATGTTATTACGGCTGTTGCCATTTTTCATCGTGGCAAGATGTGACGGCATCTCGCTCAAACGGATTCTGCAGGCTAAGAGGTTTTGCCAATCAAAAACACACTTCCTATAGGAAGTACTTCGTCTGGTGTTTGATGAATCACTCACTGTATTCCTCTTTTTCAAAAGTGATAAAAGAATTTGGAAAATGAGTAAATGTAAATATACACTAATGTACACTAAGTTTGGGCTCAGTACCATTTTCTTTTCTTCAGCAAGGACACATTAAATTGATTGAAAGTGACAGTAAAGACATTTCTAATGTTATACATTTTCTATCTCAAATCAATCTAAAAATAAAATAATGGTCTAACCCATAAATAAAATCACTTTCGATGAGACATAATTGCTTATTACTTTTGACCAAAAGGTGGCGCTGACACCAAATTTGCGTGGTGTGCTCAGTGTTGGTTGGCAATGACACGCACCAATTTTGGTGTCAATATGCCAAAGCCTTGCAGAGATACAGTCTCAGACGCAGCTTGGCATCATGCCATCAAACTCGTTGATGCGGCAAACGAAAAGAGTTTTTTTCATCGACATAAAATCCATAACTTTATGCCAGCATAGTCTGAAGATGATCCGAGCCAAATTTGGTGAAAATCAGACCAAGGGTTTGAAAAAGTGTGTCAAAATAGTCCACAGGAAAACTATGGCATAATTGGAATCAGTGTTCTCGACGGCTTGATCAAAGGAATCTTTCAAGACAATAGGCTAAACTAATCAAAAGCTATAAGTGTTTTTGAGATTTTATTATAGTTTTTGACCACAATACCTTTTGAGTACTATCACATACACTGAGTTTTGTAACGCTACTACGCCAATGCATTTGTAAAATAGAGCATTTTACGACAATTCAAAATGGTCAATGTCCAAAATGGCTGACAAAATTGGGTATTGTTCGACTCGGTCTGACACACCGAATATAAAAAGAGACCAATTATAAGCAAAAAAAGCAATTTTTCATATCTCCTATAATTTTAAATTATAATAATAGTTCATTTTTTTATTAAACAAATGCAGCCTTGGTGAGCCGAAGACACTTACAACTAAATCTTACTCCAAACCTATGAATAGTAGTGTATAAATATCATAAAATACATATAATTAAAGTCCCCCTGTGTTGAAAATCAAGTTTTTAATGTTGTTTATGTGTCTATGTGGTGTTTTTAATCTGCTTTAAGACAAACCATGTGTAAGTTCATAAGTCGACAGCATTGCTGAGTATTTCCTCCTTAAAACTGCAGTGAACCAAAGACAGTCTCAAAAACACGGTTTGAAATCGCTGGTGTTTCTGACGTCACAAACGACCTTGTAACCAATCAGATCAACGTGTGATCGTCAACCAGTGGATCTCTGAGCTGAGTGAGTGAGTGGAGGCGGGGCTCATTTGCATATTCATAGAACCACGCATACTAAATGAGGCAAGGGTGTCGAGTTACATTCAAGATATTTTAAGGCATGAATACATTCTTTTCAAGGAAAATATTTTTAAATATGTAATTTTAGTGATCAAAGATGAGTTTTAAGGGATAAAATGATTGACTACAGGGGGACTTTAAAGGGATAGTTCGGCCAAAAATGATATTTAACCCATGCATTACTCACCCTCAAGCCGTTCGAGATGCATTTGTCAATCTTTAAATCAATATTTAAAACTTTATAAATGAAAATATCTGACTTCCGGCAACGATCGACGCGCGTTCACGGGTGATGGAAGTCAGCGTACGAGGTAGGACGTAGGGTAGGAACCGTCGTGACGTAGAACGAATGCGCCAGCGCAGCCAGAGAGCAGAGCAAAACAAAACACTTCCATCACCCGTGAACGCGCGTCGATCGTTGCCGGAAGTCAGATATTTTCATTTATAAAGTTTTAAATATGTATATTTTTACGACAAAACCGCACTCTACCCTCAGAAGGCCTTCGTTTATCCCCCTGGAGCCGGATGGATTACTTTTGTGAAGGATGTATGCACATTTTGGGACTTGAAGGAGGTGGACCCCATTGCTTCACATTATATCCACTGAAGGGTCTAAGACATTTTCTAAAATAACTGAAAATGTGTTTGTCTGAAACAAGATTGACATATGCATCTCGAACGGCTTGAGGGTGAGTAATGCATGTGTTAAATATCATTTTTGGCCGAACTATCCCTTTAAGGTAATGATATAATTTACGAGTACAGATTCTTGTATCTGGTTTGTGTGATCTCGAAAGCACCAGACTAAGATCAGACGTTCCTCTTTCCCAACCACATCCATTCAAAAGAAACCCAGACCAGATCTGGCCGGACGCCTGTCTACCCGTCTGTCTGTCTGTCTCTAAGCCAAGTGAGT